ATACCATGAGCATTAGGATGTATAATTCATGTTGCTTTCATTTGCTCAGACCATTGCAAAAATCCATAAATCATTTTCTTGTTCATGTATTGCCTAAGTGCAATTTGTCATTTTGCATTAGAGGGCTGCTTCAGCTCATCAGTGCTTTTAATTCACTGTTTAGAGTTTAACAAAATGCTGGCCCTGTCTGATCATTTGAAAAGACACTGAAATGTGAAGCCACACCAATGTTAACTAGGTTAAACAAAATAGAGAGGGCATTTCTACCTTGAATATCAAGTACAGCTTAATAGAACTATCTAGTATTCTCAGTGCCCATAAACATGGATCAGTTCTCTGTTAGGGCCAAAGCATTAGAAGAAAACACAGTAACTAAAGCATAGTACGGGCTATATATAATATACCCCCCCCCCAAGAATCTCTAGTCAACAGTCACTCTTTATTGCAGATGAACAAAAAGCTAATACACCCTGTCTGTGGTGTTGGCTCCAGAGCCTTACCTTCCTCCCTCTTATGTTAGGTAAACCTATTGTATGGTTCCTCTTCAGAGAGGGGATGCAGCCCAGGTCCTCCGCGTTTGCTCTCTGCACTTTCCTTGCTGGAAAGGATGAGTGCCCGGAACCATCTAGCTCTATTCTGGACCAGTCTGGCCTTTGAAAAATGCCTAATTGAAGATTTTAATTTTCGTCTTCCATTTCTTTAAAAAAAAAGTCTCAAAGCTCTGGGTACACTGCAATAATAAGAGGATTTAGAGACAAATTGCTTTCAAGTCAAGTTAAACCACTACAAACACTCATTTATCCACAGGCTGGTTAACAACGTGTTTTCCCTTCCACCTCTCCTAGAAAAGGGTAGGGAAGAAAGCAGCCGGGTTACCTACTTTCAAAACATGTAACTGTGAATATAAATTTAACACACTTGTGGGATCCTTGCCGTCTCCCTATTTCTGCTGCACTTAGAGCCCGGTGAAAGAGTGCATTATCACTCTCGTCCACCAGCCAGGGCTTTTATAAACATTGATTTTGATAACCTCCTTCCAAATAATAACCACTTTCCCCTTCTGTTTCGGGATGCAATTTGTTTGAGTCCAGATGGTTGGTGTTCCTGCCGGGGACATGGGGTAGGGGTAGGGTTAAGTTCCCTAAGGATTACTTCTCTCGTCTCCTTTCAGTGATAGGGTGTTCAGGAACACAGTATTATATGATATCCTGAATTTCAAAGAGGCCATCAACCCACTACCCAGACTATTTATACACGTAGGGGCTCACTAAATTCTGGGTGCACCAAAGGAAGAGCCAGGAAGAAAAGGGGGAGGGGGAAATCTGCTTGATTGACACAGCAAGGGAGGAAATAAACCAGTTACACTCTAGAGGCATTTTTAAAAGGAAAATTTAAAGTGGTGTTTTGTTTTGTGGGTAACAGGGTGGGGCTGTTTAGTGGTTCCAGCTTTAGGAGGCAGAAAAGGTTATCAGTGCCACTGTTTGGATCTTGGTTCCCAGCCAAGTGCTCTCGCAATTGCGCTTGGCTGGAGTTACCTAGGGGTAGGCGGGTGGCCGCGGCAGAAGACCCCATCGTCACCCCGCCGGGTCTGGGGCACATCAGAGACTACAAGTTAGAGAGGCGAGACCTCTAGACGACCCCGACCGTCGTCGCTGGCGCAGGCACAGGCCTCCTCGACCCAAGAAATCCTTCAGAGCCCCCAACAGGCCAGCCCTGCCAAATGAGAGCTCCAAGCAAAATTCTCTGGCTTGCCCTGTGCCGCTTTTGCCGCTAGGAGGCGCTTGTAACCCACGTTTGCGGAGAGGGTCCCCGTTCAAACTCGACTGCCACGAAAAAGAAAAAAAGGGAGGGGGGCGCTCAAGCGTTATAGTGGATGTAGTGATTATTTACAGGCAAATCTGGCCATCTCTGCACGTCCTCGCCTCCACCTCCGGACGCTCTCCGGCTCTCCGCGAACGCCCCAAGTCTGCTCGAACTTCATCTGCATTTTGAGAGCACAAACCTGTTCCCCAATTTCTGGATCTGCATTGTCATTCAGGCGCATGGCTCTCACACGCAAACACGCACGCACACGAGCGCACACACACAAGTGTGTCCATACGTACAAATGAAAACATTAGAAAAATTACCGTCATTTTAAAAAAAATGCTCCAGTATTCTGAGGCGTCAGCTTGAAGAGCTCAAAAACATGTCATTTAATTCCTGCGGGTCTAAAGAAAACGAAGGGGGGAGGGGTAAAAGTACAGACGCGACGCTGTATTAATATTCAGATAAACTATAATCTTTCCATTGATCCACAGGTCCTTTTATAAAGTGCCGCTCCGTTCTCAGTCGCAGGACGTGACGCTACAGTCATTTTAACTGCAGCGGTTTTCACTTGGCTTTGGCTAGTCATCAATTCACTGCAGCTGGGAAAGGATTAGCCATTTTTGCTGGCATCCGTTCCTTCTAACCGCTCCAAGGCAGGGCCGGTCTCCATGAAAGAGCCGGGGGCGGGGGCAGGGCGCAGGCACGCCCTCGCGGGGCCGGCGGGGGCACGGCTCAGTCTGCGATCGCTTCCACCGACTCTCGCGCTCCTCAATCCCCTGTCAGGAAGGAACAGCAAATTATGGGGTCGGGGGGGGGGGGGGGGAAATCTCCTTTTCCCGCAGGTTGTGGCGGTGTCACTCTGTGGTCATTTAATACCCAGAAGCCACAGGGACCTTCGTATTTTGCAGCTCAAGAAGGAGACAGATTTAGTGAACAGGAGCTGATTTAGTGAATCAACAACCTTCCTACCACCCATTAATTAATTCTTAAAAAACTGTTTTTAAAATCTTTTCTTGTAGAATTGACATGTAGAATCTTCTCTCTAGCATGAACGAGTTCGCTCTGTATTTGAACTTCACAGGAGCTGGGCGCGTGGACGCGCCGCTTTGCCCCCCCGAGCCCCGCGAGTGGACACTCAGAGCTCTCCAAGCGCATCCTTTAGGACCCGGGGACCCGGGTGCAGGCGTCCGTTGGGGCTCAGGCTCAGCTGAGCGCCTGGGCCAGGGAGGATGGATGGAAGCTTCCGAAATGTGCCAGCGCATTGGCAGACACCCGCAGCGGCACACACACACGCACGCGCGCGCGCGCACACACACACACACACACACACACACACACACGGGCCGCGCTGGTTCCCGGCCTCGATGCAATCCCCGCCCCCCATTCACGCCCGAGTTCTCCACCGCCTCGCTGCACTCAACCAGCGCTAGTGCAATAATCTCTAGGCAAGAATCGGTGCCAGGGGAGGCGGGCGGGGCGGGGGGGGGATCTCCAATTGTCAGAAATAAAGCAGAAAATAACCTGCGCGCGCTGCCGCCACGTACCACTTGGTGTGCAGAGGCGCAGGGCAGCTCCCGGCGGTGCTGGGTACTGGGCGCCCGATGCCCGACGCTACGAGCCGAGCTTTCGGCGGGCTGGAGGCAGAGCTCAAACGAAACGAGCTCTTCAGTCACTGCTCAGAGCGATCACAGACCAAACTGGGTCCCCGGGAGAATTAATCTAGTTGGTAGCAGTATAGTGAGTGGGTCTGCAATGAGGACAGAAGAGGTGAGTCTACGGAGTTTGCAAGTCTGTGGGAGAGGCCAGCCCTGACCCCGGGCCTGAATCCCACCTCCGCCCCACACTCGACTGCTTCTCTCCTGTTCCACGCGGCCCTTGCACACCCTCACGCTCAGTTTGACACAGGCCATATTATACCCGTTTTGGTTTTTTTTTTTTTTAAATGTCCTGCCAGTCTTTGCCAGAGGTCCTTCATTAGGTAACCCCTGCCAATTAATGGTCACACTGCAACTTTTTCCCGTTCTCGGTGATTTATTTCCGTGATCAGTAGCAAGGAAAATACCTTAAAGGAAAAAGAATGTCAGCGTCATTGGAAACCCCGCTCCTGAGAGAGGATACCGCTCTGCTGTTGCTATTGTGGTTTAGCATTTGCTGATGCAAACAGGGGAACCTCTCTATTCCCTCTCCATTACCTGCGGCTGGGGACTGGGAACTTTCCGCGGCAGCGTCCCCAGCAAGCGCCTCGGGACCTGCGGGGCGGCTCTCTCTGTCTCTCTCGGCACTCACACTCACCACCGCCGCGGGGCCGCGGGTTCTATCTCGCCCCGCCCGGTACCGGGTGACGTATCAACTTGACGGCCGGTGCAGCCAATGAACATTGGCTCGGTGGGCGGTGCTCCTCAGGGATTGGTTGGCAGAATGAGGGCGCTGCGCAAAAACACAGAAGCGTTGCGCTCGGAGCTCAGAAACTGCCAGCGTAGATCACAGGCTCTAAGGCTGAAGCAGGAGGAGGGAAGGAGTGGAAGGAAGAGAGACAGGTTAGAGGGAAAGGCTGGGGAAGGAAACAGCGGAAAAGAAACATCTCATCTCAGTGACCGAGAGTCAAGTGACGGTGGAGATGAGGACGGAGAGAGACAAGACATGAGAGCTAAAACATTCAAATAGAGCGAAACAGGGGGGAAAAATGCCAAGAAGAACATCCATCCGGAGAAATGAAGAGAATGAAAGTTTTATGCTGCAGAGCCAGTCTGTGCTTTTCCGGCACAACATTTTCTCGCTGTTTTTAAGCCCTTTTGCATTTGCCCGCCGTTGACATTAAGAGGCATGTTCAGCGGTGCCGGCAGCATCTCTTCTTCCTTCTCCTCTTCCTCTTCATCTTCCTCCTCCTTCTTTCCCTCCTCCTCCTTCTCCTCCCATCAGCAGGAAGACAAACCGAGGACAGTCTTGAAATATCGGAATTTGCTCCTTGGGATTTGCTAGCGCCGCGTTGCGCCAAGACTGTCGGAATAAAGGACGCTGACTATTGTATTATTATTATTTTATTAATTGGTCAGTGGGAAGATTACAGATGAGGAAAGGGGACGCCTGTCACCCTTTCTGCGCTAAGATTGAAAAATGAGGCTGAATTGGGGGAAGTCCTAAAATGAAGCAAAAGGAATAAGATTTTTTTAAGGACAGAAAGCCAGGAGAGCCCCCCACATAGCGCACTTTTATTTGTTGTTTTTTTTTTTTTTCTCGTAGTGGTGGGGGAGGTGATTGGGTGGCTGACTGGCTGCGGGAAGCTGCTTCCTTCCCCTTTGGAGATGATTGTGCTATTATTCGCCTTGCTCTGGATGGTGGAAGGAGTCTCTTCCCAGCTTCACTACACGGTGCAGGAGGAGCAGGAACATGGCACTTTCGTGGGGAATATCGCTGAAGACCTGGGCTTGGACATTACAAAACTTTCAGCTCGCAGGTTTCAGACGGTGCCCAATTCCCGGACCCCATACTTGGACCTCAACCTGGAGACCGGGGTGTTGTACGTGAACGAGAAGATAGACCGTGAGCAAATCTGCAAGCAGAGCCCGTCCTGCGTCCTGCACCTGGAGGTATTCCTGGAGAACCCCTTAGAACTGTTCCGGGTGGAGATCGAAGTGCTGGACATCAACGACAACCCCCCCTCCTTCCCAGAGCCGGACCTGACCGTGGAGATCTCTGAGAGCGCCACGCCGGGCACCCGCTTCCCTTTGGAGAGTGCATTCGACCCAGACGTGGGCACCAACTCCTTGCGCGACTATGAGATCACCCCCAACAGCTACTTCTCCCTGGACGTGCAGACCCAGGGGGATGGCAACCGATTCGCCGAGCTGGTGCTGGAAAAGCCGCTGGACCGAGAGCAGCAAGCGGTGCACCGCTACGTGCTGACCGCGGTGGACGGGGGAGGAGGGGGAGGAGGAGGTGAAGGAGGGGGAGGCGGCGGGGGAGGGGGCCTGCCCCCCCAGCAGCAACGCACCGGCACGGCCCTACTCACCATCCGAGTGCTAGACTCCAACGACAATGTGCCCGCCTTCGACCAACCCGTCTACACTGTGTCCCTACCGGAGAACTCGCCGCCGGGCACACTGGTGATCCAGCTCAATGCCACAGACCCAGACGAGGGCCAGAATGGCGAGGTCGTGTACTCTTTCAGCAGCCACATTTCGCCCCGGGCGCGGGAGCTCTTTGGACTCTCCCCGCGCACAGGCCGGCTGGAGGTGAGCGGCGAGCTGGACTACGAAGAGAGCCCGGTGTACCAAGTGTACGTGCAAGCCAAGGACCTGGGCCCCAACGCCGTGCCCGCACACTGCAAGGTGCTTGTGCGAGTGCTGGATGCTAACGACAACGCGCCCGAGATCAGCTTCAGCACCGTGAAGGAGGCGGTGAGCGAGGGCGCGGCGCCCGGCACAGTGGTGGCCCTGTTCAGCGTGACCGACCGCGACTCAGAGGAGAACGGGCAGGTGCAGTGCGAGCTGCTAGGGGATGTGCCGTTCCGCCTCAAGTCTTCCTTCAAGAACTACTACACCATCGTGACCGAGGCGCCCCTGGACCGAGAGGCGGGGGACTCCTACACCCTGACCGTGGTGGCACGGGACCGGGGTGAGCCGGCGCTCTCCACCAGTAAATCGATCCAGGTGCGAGTGTCAGATGTGAACGACAACGCGCCGCGGTTCAACCAGCCGGTCTACGACGTCTATGTGACTGAGAACAACGTGCCGGGCGCCTACATCTACGCGGTGAGCGCCACCGACCGCGATGAGGGCGCCAACGCCCAACTAGCCTACTCGATCCTCGAGTGCCAGATCCAGGGCATGAGCGTCTTCACTTACGTGTCCATCAACTCCGAGAACGGCTACTTGTACGCCCTACGCTCCTTCGACTACGAGCAGCTCAAGGACTTCAGCTTTCAGGTGGAAGCCCGGGATGCCGGCAGTCCCCAGGCCCTGGCTGGCAACGCCACCGTCAACATACTCATCGTGGATCAGAACGATAACGCCCCTGCCATCGTGGCGCCGCTACCAGGGCGCAATGGGACGCCAGCGCGCGAGGTGCTGCCCCGCTCGGCGGAGCCCGGTTACCTGCTGACCCGTGTGGCCGCAGTGGACGCAGACGACGGCGAGAATGCCCGGCTCACCTACAGCATTGTGCGGGGCAACGAAATGAACCTCTTCCGCATGGACTGGCGCACCGGGGAGCTCCGCACAGCGCGCCGGGTGCCCGCCAAGCGCGACCCCCAGCGGCCTTACGAGCTGGTGATCGAGGTGCGGGACCACGGGCAACCTCCTCTGTCCTCCACCGCCACCCTGATGGTGCAGCTGGTGGATGGCGCAGTCGAGCCCCAAGGCGGGGGCGGGGGCAGTGGCGGGGGGACAGGGGAGCACCAGCGCCCCAGCCGTTCTGGCGGCGGGGAGACCTCGCTGGACCTCACCCTCATCCTCATCATCGCTCTGGGCTCGGTGTCCTTCATTTTCCTGCTGGCCATGATCGTGCTGGCTGTGCGTTGTCAAAAAGAGAAGAAGCTCAACATCTACACGTGTCTGGCCAGCGACTGCTGCCTCTGCTGCTGCTGCGGCGGCGGGGGCTCGACCTGCTGCGGCCGGCAAGCTCGGGCGCGCAAGAAGAAACTCAGCAAGTCTGATATCATGCTGGTGCAGAGTTCCAATGTACCCAGCAACCCGGCCCAAGTGCCGGTGGAGGAGTCCGGGGGCTTTAGCTCCCACCACCACAACCAGAATTACTGCTACCAGGTCTGCCTGACCCCTGAGTCTGCCAAGACCGACCTGATGTTCCTTAAGCCCTGCAGCCCTTCTCGTAGTACGGACACTGAGCACAACCCCTGCGGGGCCATCGTCACCGGCTACACAGACCAGCAGCCCGACATCATCTCCAACGGAAGCATTTTGTCCAACGAGGTAAGGCTGAAGCGAAAAGACCACCATCTCTCATCTCCTCCATCTGAGAGCCTCCTCTAGCCCGGCCCTTGTTCTCTCTGGTGCACTGTGTATTGATTTTTAGGATACTAGCTTATTTGTATCTTTGTAGGGGTATGAAAGGGGGGGTCCCCCTCTTCCACCCCTTTGTGTGTAACCTAAACTACGTGTTGTCCCTAATATTCTGTGCCCCACCCCTCCACGTTGATTTTCATTCCCTCTCCTTGGTGCTTGCCACCTCTTTCTTCTCTCTGGCATCTTTGCTTTAAAATTCTAACCCCCTCTCACTCTCAGTCGTTTCCCATTTCAGAAATCTGGGAGTGAAGGGGAAAATGGGAGGGGACAGAGGGGAATGGGATGGGGACACTTGCTGGCACTGGCAAAGATCTTTTTCTCTTTGCATTTGTCACAGGCATTAATAAAGTTACACTTGTTTTTGCCCTGTTTATCAATGCTTTCAGTCGCGTGTAAAAGTAAGCTATAGATTGTTTAACTTTGCACAGTTGTCTAAACTCGAATGCATGTTGTAGTGAATGAGTTATCAGATTCTTGTCCTCTGAACTCGGGTTGAAGAGAAGCCTTCAGTTCTGCTCTGGACAGCATTTACAGGTGCTCTTGAAGCCAAGGCTCACACAGTGAGAATTTGAATGAAGTTGCGTTGGCACAAACCCCTGTAAGCGTAAACTAAATGGAAGGCTCCAACGAGTATTGTCTTAAATATATCTTTTAGCTAACAATCACCTTCTTGCCACTGTTTCTGATATATCACTGTTGTTGGCTTTCTTCATCCAAGAACTCGGCTTGTCAATTCTGATTTCTTAAAAGATGGAGAAGTGGCAAAGCTGGAAGGAGGGAGGGAGAGGGAGAAGAAAGTTGGTTTATGTAAAAAAAAAAAAGTTTGGACCAGAAGAGGTGTGTGGGTGGTGGAGGTGGGGGTGGGGGGGGAGGTCATACAGAGGGTCTTTGGAGGGAGAAAGATTTTGGCTGGAGGGAGGGTTAATCACTCCTTCCTTGGCAGGTTATTTTATTTATTTGAGTCTTAGATATTATTAACTGACTTTCATGACTATTTGTACAGCTCATTTGTATCTTAAGCACATTTTGAAAATAAACAACAAAATAATTCCACAAAACATCCCAACTTTTTTGCTTATTGAGCGTGCTGTGTTTCTTGTGTCAACCAGGATGCACCTAAACACTGTTCTAGGCCATGGGAAGGAAGACTGCAGGAAATAACTAGGTTGACTCTATTAGAGACAAAAGTTTAGAAGCCCCAGCTATGAGGTCATTTGCATTCTCAAAAACACCCACACATTGAAAAAATGGCCTTTTATTTCTGCATTTTTGAAACCTGCACTGAAAATCTAAGCTGGATGTGTCTTCTGTGTCTATCTATCCCCCTGCCCTTACCCAGCAGGAGGGCAAAGATCTGAGAACAGCCTGGAAATCCATACAAATACACACAATTACGGAAGCTAGAATTAGTTCCTAACCTCAAAAGCAAACTATTAGTTAAACCCTTAGCATGCAAATGCTCTTGATATATTTATTTTTTTCCTAGACTAAACACCAGAGAGCAGAGCTCAGCTACCTAGTTGACAGACCTCGCCGAGTTAACAGGTATGAACTTCTTCTTTTTCTTTTTTTTTTTCCTAGCTTGGTGTATAAACAAGCTACTACCTCCTGTAAGTAAGAATTAGGTATATTATTCAATATTAAAATATAAAACATATAAAGTGCTTTCAATTAAGGCAGGTCATAAATACTAATTATGCTGTGTTTCCTAGGTAATACATTAAAGTATGGGTGTATTTTGTTTATATAGAAGTTACTAAACATACCTATTCTGCCAGTTTTCACTCCTACACTGCTTCCAATCGTCTCCCTAACTGTTCCAGGTGTATATGCAAAGCTCCTGTATAAAAATGATATAGACATAAACTTAGCTCCAGTCATACAATGCTGCCTAGACCTTACATGCCTTAAAGGGCTTGAACTGACTGCTAACGCTCGATTTTAAAGAGTTGGGCTTAAGCTGATGAAAACAGGCTTTCTGCAGAAATAGAGCCGAGTCTATGTGTCTGCAGCGCCACCAGTGACCATGTGGTGGCAGAAGAATGTTTTCTGTGTTACTTCACCTTAAAAAAAATTCTAATATTCACGTTTTTGTGCTTCTAGTTCTGCATTCCAGGAAGCGGACATAGTGAGCTCTAAGGACAGTGGGCATGGAGACAGTGAGCAGGGAGATAGTGATCACGATGCCACCAACCGTGGCCAGTCAGCTGGTAAGTGTGATCAAAGGGCGACCTGAGTGCTGACTTTTATAATTAAAAAAAAAAAATCTAGAAAGGATGATGTCTTAGGTAATTCCTTTGCAAATTTAATGTTGGTACGTGTACAGAAATGCATGGTGTCAACCTATGTTGATAAACATATACTCGAAGAGGGTTATGGAAATGCAATGTTCCTTTGGACAGTTAAAGTTAGAAATTCATTGTGGAATACATTAGAATATGAAATATTTCTTCCTGATGTAATGTGCTTTAATGGAGTTATAGTGCATGCTAAAAGCCATAGATCTCTCACCTGGGCCAGTCCCCCCTCTTCAGTTCACTGAGGTATCATTAGATTTGTTTGTGAATGGTCACTGAAGATTAATAAAATTGATTGACCTGTACAAGGTCACAAGAGGACAAGTGGGTGACTGGGGACTAGTATCCAAATGTCTTGCATGCCACTGAGGAGTGAATGAGAGAACAGATGCTGATTAAAAGTCCCAGGTAGGTGGGAAGCAGGATTTCCCACCCTGAGTCCTTGGGCCTCAGGACATTAGGAAACATTTGGCAGCTGGCGTTTTCTGAAGCATGCTGAGTTTCCTCATCTGTTCAGCAGAGCCCATCACCTGTCTAAAAGGGGGACTCCATGTACTTCTGTGTGGGCTTAATGGTTGTCATTGACAGGCCTGTGATGGGATACATACTTTAAAAATTTATTTGACTTTATATATTTTGCTTTAATTTTTCTATATAAATTTAATCTTTTAAAATCCTACATTTTGTAGGACCCTGATAACTCCACTTACTAACCCATAAGGAAAACACTTAAGGGAAATAAAATACGTACCTTAAAATAATGAAAAAAATTCATAAAGTTTACGTTTTCTTTTTGTTTCATTTGCACTTTGGTTAAAAGGGTACTTGTTGATTTTTTTTTTTTACTTTTTATTTTCTGAAGAAGGTTTGTGTTTATCTGACACATAAGAAAATGGAAAGGGAGGTCAATTTTTGCAACTTCTAAGAATGTCCGTCTTCGGATCCTCCCAGGGTTTGACTCCTTTCACTTACAATTTGAGCTTTATTTTAGTCAATGACATAAGCATAGAGTGATAGGGTCCTCATTTTCAAGGTGACATTGGTCCTTGAGAACGCCCATTCAGCACACTTGGTGTGAGTCTGGATGGCACGCAGGCCATGCATGGAAGGGCAGGACACACCCCATGGTCGCCGGGCAGCAGGGGCGAATGCAAGCCTAAGACTGGGCTAATGTGCCCTATGTCTGAGGCTGCCTTAGGCTTGGGAAACACAGGCAGGAGGGGGGGGAAAGGCTGCTCAAGGGTCTCTTTATATTGCTGCAAGTCATTAATATGCAGACCTAATGAGACTTGAGAACTGCCAAGAAACCCCGGAGGTCCCTGCCCCTTGCGGGCCTTCACGCTAAGTGAACAGAGCATCTATTTAGTGTCTGGGAACCTGACAACAACCCAGCTCTTGCCAGAAGTTTATATTTGAGTACAAAGTCCCTTTTATTTTTGGCCTATATGTGGCATATGATTTATTGTTATCTTTAAGAAGCTGTACGTTTAGAATTGTGCATTGCTCTTCTTCTCTCAGAGTCTCCAACTTAACAGTCTTTCAAAACTTTAAAAACAAAATCTGTAACATTAAAAACAGGGTATCTGCTGCATGCTTCCTGGGATGCACTTTATTCCTTTCCCACCCCCCACCCTACTCCCCCCACCCCCCGTGGCACTCCTGTGTCACTGAATATTTCAATTAGTTTTGTCCCTCAGATACAATGAGCTGTCATAATATAACTGAAGAGAGAGAGATGAGTAAACATCTGCAAAAAAACAAAACACAAAAGACTAAATTTGGAAGATGGATGGGAAGATAGTCCCACTCCTGTGCCTGCTCAACAGCTCTTGTATCTCACAGACACTCAGGGTTGCCCTTTGGGGAATGTTTCTATCAGATTGGTTGAGATGTCGCAGCATTCAGAGGAAAAGTAAACTGACAAATTGTGTTCTGAAAACCATTTTTAAAGAGTTAGGTGGTTTTCCTTTTTCTTTATCCAAATGGCAAGTTTTTCCCCCCAACTTTAAGTTTTGGGGCCTGTAAAAGTGTCGCAGCATTTGCAGTCTCTGCATTTCATTAGCAGTTGTAGGGAAGCCACTGTGTGCCTTCCCTACAGAAGGGCACAGAATAGCTGCTTCAGAACCGGCACCGCACACTTTCATCGAGAAGTCATCGCACCTCCGGGTGCTGAATTGCAGTCAGTTTTAATACGTCTAATCTTATTTTAAGAATGATTTGACTGTCTTCTTCCAAGTGTACAACCTCCAGTGCAGAGAATGAAAATGCTTTTACTTAATGTTTTTTTCACTGATGTTGTATACCATAAATCCCACACCAAATAGCGAGAATATTTTCTGAAACTTAGGCCCATTTCAGGTAAATAAGTCCATCTGTTTTATTTCCTTGAAAAACCAGGTACTAATGATCTTTCAGCGTTGCAATATTTAGGAAATTTCCATAGCACATATATTTTCAGGTTTATGATGAAAACATTTTATACTATTCAGCAAATCTTACTCAGCTGGGTTTTAAGCAGGGAAAGGTTAGATTATCAAGGAAAAATAACTCTGGCAAGATATAGATTCTGAATTCTCTCCTTCAGTTTGAACCTTATTCCATACTGCATTTCCTCTACCATTTAGCTCAGTGCTTCACCTATTTAGTTCCCACTTTCTTTTCCTGTGTTAACATTACCGTGTATGTGCTTATTTAGATATGCCTTCCGTTTATTCTTCTATGAATAGTTTTCTTTTTTGTTCTTTCCCCTCCCCTCCTCCACTTGTCCTCATTCTCAGCCCTTTGCAGTCACCAATTTTGCTCATAGAAGGGCTTTAAATACAGAGGCAGCTGCACAGAGAACCACATAAGCTTTTCAGTTTCCCACTGCACCTGGCTCTATGGGTAAGAGTCTTCGGCTTGACCACTGCTCTGTGGCACTTTTTTCCTCCAGGCTTGTCAAGGTGCTTTCCGTTTTTTTCAGGGCGCTATTGATGTATTGGTTAGATGTGGCTGAAGTCCAAGGAGATGTGGTAAATGCATGGATAAATCATCACAAGGGGGAAAATGATTAATCACAGCTTAAATAGCCAGAGACAGTCTAAGTGGATTTCCAAAGAAATATATTTTTAAATTTATTTTTATATTGTTAGATTAAAAGATAAGCTTTTTCTCATTTATAATACTGATGCAACATTTTCCATTGTATTTTCTTAAATATTATAATATTATTGGAGGTACATCTAAGAAGATCTATTAAGTAGTAAGAAGTTATTCATTTTTTTACTTAAAATGCTTACAGTGTGAATAATACTAGGATAAATTATGAATTTATTTTTAATAATTGTGGTTCTTAAACATATATCGAAGAGAAGAACCCTAATAAGTGATCTTGTTAGTTACTTGTTATAGTTTACTTCAAAATGTCAAATTGCTCCTGTTAATTTTTTTTCAGTTATAAGGATACTTAATTTCTAAATGTATTTGTTTCTTAACTAATTATTATGAGATTGATACATGATATATACTAAAAAATGTGTCTATACACTTAAATATAAAATGATTTAAATTATTAATATATTCAAACTAGTAGATAAATTATATCACAAAATATATTAACACATTGCACAACTATGACAATATCAAGAATCCTTGACCTTCCATAAATATTAATTCTCTTTTCAAACTCGAACAAGAATTTAGACACTGGCAAAGCTTTTGACTTTACAAATAAAATGAATCTGCACCACAGTTTGCAAAAGCTCATTAAAGTTTTTGGTAAAAATCTGAGCCACATCATGGTGTGGAGAGATTTATGATAAGAATAATATATAAGACACAAAATTGACAGAAAATGAAGAGAAATATAAACATTGGGGACAAATCATGATAGACATTTTCAAATTTCCATGATCAAATTATGATGATAAATATCTGCCAAACTATATTTTCCTAAAAACTACAGCAGCTTTTGTGGTTTTACTCAATATTTCTCAGTTTTCCAGTATTACATGGTAAAAGGAAGACTGGAAACTTAATAAAAAATTAAGTGTTGATTTTCTTTAAAATTAGCTTACAGTGTGTTGAAAAATATTAAACATTTTTAATAAAAGTTTGGTACATGAGATAGAAAGGTAACATAGTTTTGTATTACTACGTTCATCAGGAAATAGTACAAGTTGAATACAAATACATTTTTGAAATTATGATTCATTCTCAGAGGTGATATCACTGTCTTTGACTGGAAAGGACACCCTACTTGTGAGTTACAAAAGACATATTTTAAAATTTGTCTAAATATATCTGCAGAACAGGCAGTCTAACACATCAGCTGTCATGCCTGGTAGAATGGATTATTTCTGAGAAGTGGAGAAAATAAATAAGTAGGAGAAGAAATCAGAAGTTACATATATATATATATATATATATATATATATATATATATAAAGATATTGCTTAGAAACTACCATACTTTTAAAACTGAGGTTTGTTTTATGTTTTTCTACTGTAAAAATCCTACAGGTACTATAATAAGTGTATTTGAATGAGGACAAAAGAATCAAGTTAAATTTATTTTATCTTGGGACTTCAGTTTGAGCCATTAAACCATTCCCAGAGCAATATGCATTTTAATGTTATTTTAACTGTGTCATGTGCTACATACGTAGCATTCCTGGGTGTCATATAATCATTTATGACAGTAAAACTTAAACATACCTTCGATTATTTGGTCATTAAAATAATATATTTAATAGAGCTAGTAATAAAGGAAAAAAGATAAAGTAATGTTAAACTTTCAATGGCTTCTTAGGGTGAAGATAGGTAATGGGAAAAGTTTATTTGGTTCTCAAACTATACGTCTAAAAATCAAATGAAATAACCATTTTCGATCAATGTGTTCATGACTTATTTTAAATGCACCAGTGTCCTGTTTGTGTTGTTTAAAATGGTTCCTATGATATTTTTCTCACTAGAAATGTGTACACTTCCTTTATTAGTAAAGCTGGTAAGACACATTCATGCACAATTTGCACCACCTTCCCCTTCCTCCTAGTTATATAAAGCTGTGTATTAACTAAGGACACTGTTTACAATCGGTTTGTTTCTTCTGTCAAATAGCATTCTCCCAACAGAAGACTTTATCTTATTTATCCACTCTTCTTATGAACATACTACATTTTCTGTGCAGGTTCTCAACCCATGAGAACTTTATTACATTATCTAAGAGACTTTTCACTAGCCTCTGATAATTAAAAGAGGCAGAACACCATATTGCTTCAAGGGAAGAAAATGGGTACCACTGACTATAAATGATGAATAAAAACAAATTATACTAAAAGTACCTCCTAACATAATTAAACAATGACCGCATAATATCATTAAGGGACTAGTTTATTAAAGTGTTTTCTGCATGATATTATCAAGCTCATAATATGGGAGTCCTTGCATACAGGTCCTCCAAGTGAAATGAAAGATTGTGAATGACCTTGTGGTAAAATTATATTTCTCAGTCATGCAGAAAAAAATTTATTCTAAATTTTGCGTTCGATAACGGTTTCTTTAGTCAGGATCCAATAATACAATTCTACCGTAGTATTTGAACAATTCTATTAACTTCAAATTTTATATAACTTGATTGTATTTTTCAAATAAAGTGGTGACACTAATTTTACTCTTCACAGTCATTCCATCTAGTAAAAAAAAGGTGTCCCCCCCCACATTGTAAATAAGGAGAACCACAATACTAATCTCTATGGTTCTCCAACTTCTACCTACCTGGTATGTCTGTGTGTACCAGGGACATTCTTTTCCCTGGCCGCTTTCTCTCTCTACATAGCTCCTTGCAGCAATAGGAGAAAGCCCTGACCTCTGATGTCTAGAGAAGCAATGACATGTTTTACATGCGGTTCTGAGTCTGGACCTTATCCTGGCTTCAGCTCACGTTGCTGGCCCTCAACAGTTCACTGATCAGTAATTTATTTGCAGACTTATGCATGACAACTGTCAGTGGAATATTATCATCAAAGTTAGACTTTGCATTATACATAGTTTAATTTGAATGTTAAAACGTCATTAGAAAGTGAGATTAATATATGATAAGAAGCCTGGTATTATTTCTTTAAACATAATTTACATAATCAATGGTTCTTAATTCATGGATAACCTAGAGGGTTGGTGATTTTGAAAAATTATTCTCTTTATTTTATAGCTACAGATGTTAACATACACATGCACACAAGTAAATCAGTGGGGTTGAAGAATACCTCCAGGAATTTAAAACTGAAACTTGCTCAAGAGCTTGAATCACTTAGGATGCTTATGGAAGAAATAATCAAGGGTGTTCATTACATAAATATTGCTCTGTTAGTTAAACAAACAAGAACAAGCCCATGAAGGTAGGCATGAGATCCAGTTTCTTATGTATAGACCAATCTTACTTCAGTTATGCAAATTGACCATGCTTAAAAACATATTCAATAAATGCATTCCTATATTTAGAAAAACCTCTAAATGCAATCTTGGCTTATGACTTGTTTTTCTGCATTAGTGCTAATTATCAAAATAAATATGAAACAGTATTCTATAGTACTCAAAATTGTGATGTCTTGCTTAAGAAACTGAATGGAATTTCTTGAGCCCGAGTCAGATAGTAACTGATTAGTCTTGTAATAGTCTTGTTCATCTATGGGAGACAATGAAACTTGAAGTTGACATTGGAAATTATGACACCGAAAGTCCTTACTTAACATCGTTGATAGGTTCTGTGAAACGGGGTACAATAAACCAGTTATACCATAGGCCAATTAATAAAAAAAAAAAGGTTGCCTTCCTCTGCCTTCTCATCAACACTGTGACAAAATGACGAAACCTTATTTGAGGACCTGCTGTCTTCTGGGATAAGGGAACAGTCTGTGGTGGCCAGGACCTGTGGTTTCCAATATAGAACAAGTAATAAGGTATTTGTCAATAGTATCTGCAGTCGACTCACATAGCACTTGGTTACCTTGGTTTCACTAATTACAGTCATTTGTTCTGCATTTGGCTAAGGTGGTGAATGATAAGTGGTGTGTAGTAATATTGGCTACCAGGGTGTCATTGAGAATTATCTTTCAGGAAGTAATTTCCCAGAAGCCTAGGGAAGCATGTTGTTGGCCACTCATAAAATCTTATTTCCTTCTTGTTATTTACTGGTTTATCAATATATATGCCAGTGTTCTGTAGAATTTCGCTTTGGGATACATGTTCAGATTTCATCATCTGCACAGCAACTTCAGTGCTTTGCATATTTCTTGCAATTTTACTTCTGAAAACAAAAGTCCAGATGAGGTATCATCATTAGAGATTATGGATTAGAAAAAGTCGTCCCCTCGTCTTTTTCTCTGTTATGAACATCACCAGAGATTTTAAAAAATATATTCATTCTTTTTCCACTCAGCATTTCTAAATTATTTTACAAAATTTAGAGCCACTACATTTTCCTTCCCTGGAGTAATTTAGAAACATCTATCTCAGAGGCTTCTTTGCCTTGACAAAATAATACAGAGAGATTTTCGGTCCCTGTCAGGTTAAGACAGAAAGAACCCTTGTGAAGACTTCAGACACCACTCCGTGCTGTCTGTAACCCTTCACTGCCACGCAGCTGGCCGTGTTGGTGAAGCCTGAATCTGCAGCCTGTCTCTTTCCCGCTCACAGGTATGGATCTCTTCTCCAACTGCACCGAGGAATGTAAAGCCTTGGGCCACTCGGACAGGTGCTGGATGCCTTCTTTCGTCCCTTCTGATGGGCGCCAGGCTGCTGATTATCGCAGCAATCTGCACGTTCCCGGCATGGACTCTGTTCCAGACACCGAGGTGTTTGAAACTCCAGAAGCCCAGCCTGGGGCGGAGCGATCCTTCTCCACCTTCGGCAAAGAGAAGGCCCTTCACAGCACCTTGGAGAGGAAAGAGCTGGATGGACTGCTGTCTAATACACGAGCGCCTTACAAACCACCATATTTGAGTAAGTATTACATAAAAGGCTGTATCAAAGTGTTCCCCTTGAGGGAATCAAGTGCAACACGTCATTCTTCTTAATAAAAATAAGAGTTCAAGCTGTTTTCAGAAACAAGGATAACAGTGACTCTTGGATGCAGGCAGCGCTTTGCTCTGGAAACATGAATATACTTAACAGGAAGAGACAGGTTTCTGTGTTAGGACAGGATTGTCAACAACAATCAAAAACAATACTTTTGATGTTGTTGAAAACATTTTTCAAGTGCTCTTCATATTTCCTTTGAATATTGCTCTCTTGCACGTTTTTTGAAGGGCTTAATCAAGGAAGAAAAACATAACACTTGAGTCGCTGAGCGATCTCATTTTCGTATTGACGCCAGCATTACTGCCTAACCCCTCTTTTACCATAGTGACATCAATCGCAGTATGCTAAATTCAGAAATCAGCGCAGCCTTCACTTTGACCATGAGGCATGGTTTAGTAATATGTTGGTATGGATACAAGTCTGACTCAAACCAGAGGAAATGTGTGATGAAAGCAATATTCTTTATTTATTTCAAATAATAGTCTTCTAACACTGAAACTTTGATAATTTCACTTGTTTTTTTTAATCTTGGGACCATGTTCTCTTGGTGGATTGTTTTATACAACCACTGTGAAAAATAAAAATGCTTTGAGATTCCCTGTAGGATATTTCCTTTGAGGATCTTAGTAATGAAATTAAACCATTTATTGTCTGCTATGTCGGAATCTTTTCTGTTTAGTTAGTGGATAAACGCTCTTGACAATTCAGTATTTTGGTCAAACCACATGAGCGATAAGGGTGAAACTCATAACAACTCGTTCAAAAGATGACTTTTATCTTAAATAGCAAATCCAACATACATGATGTTTGCTTACTTTCATTGCCTAGTGGCAAAAAAAAAATCCTCGAACCATAAGGTAGAAACAAAAAATAAGATAGATCGGATATATATCATTTCTTTTATGACTTTTATGAAATCGGATGAAAAAAGAGAACATATATATTAGCTCTTATGAGTATAAATGTGAAAGGCACCAATCGAATCCACTGAAGGCGTGACTACTAGTCTGACCATTGATAATAAAAATAGACGTGTCGTGTGACTACACTGTATGACTACATCAGACACATACATTGTGATGGTGACAATGACCAAATGTTATTATACAAAGGGGTATGTTCAGCTTTTCAAATTACTTAGAAATGCCATTCCCTTAGCATAATGTAGTATTTTAATATTTCAGAACCAAAGACTTGTGCTGCCCTCTAAATAGTTAATATTTGTTTTAATTTATTTTCAAAATTATAAAATATAAGGAAAACAAATACTTAGGGGGAAAAGTACTGAAACATCTAATAATAATAAATATGTAATTCGAATGCTGAAGTCCTGAAGTTTGGCTGAAACATCCACACGTGACTTAAAATAACTCAAAGTCAAATTTTAATAGATGAGAACTGGATGTAGCTTTTTGTCCTCAAACAGAATCCTTGATTTTAAATATTATTTGTTATCTAAAACCAAACTTTTCCTAATTTTAAACATTCTCACTTTTAGAATACACATTATAGAGATACATTATCAATGATTTCAACACAAAAAGTCAAAAAACATGATTCAAAGTAACTCAAATTTGTATTTCTAAATAAATACAAGTATTTCTCTCTTTGTATATATCAATTTGTAAGTATTCATCAAATATAGTGAAAAAATTGATTCAACCTCTTTTGCTCTAGTGAGTTTGAATTTTGAAGTTTTGCTTACATATAGAAGTAAAAATTTAAACATTTACAAATATTTCTTCTCCAATGACTAGTTTTTCTCTTTAATTTTAAGTATCACAGTAACAATTTATTAATGCAAATGTTAATGCTGCATATATTTTAATGAAAAGTTTTCTAATTCCTAAGAACCTAATGTTTCCATTTAGAAACCTGATATCAGAAGTTATATGTTGGCAGTTATGTGTATTTCTAGAAATCGAAGAATACATCTATTATTTTGTAAAAAAAAATTGGATTTATTTACATATTGTCCAGATATGTATTAGAGTAAATTAGTTTTAATAACAATTTATTTTTTTTCTGTTTTAGCCAGTCACATTGCTCAAAATATTGGGTTTAGGATGAATTGTGATCTGCATGAGAAATAAGTAGAACAATGGCTATTTTGTTTTTACTTGTATTGTCTTTAGTTCTTCCTATAATTTTAATCCCATCTGACTATTTTTTAGCTTCTAGTGTTTACTGTCATCTTAGGCTCACATAGTATCTTCAAATTATATCACAGCTCTGATTTAATAGCCCCGGTCAATTCTATGGTTAATCTGATAGTACAGTCTGTAAGCCAAAACCCCTCTGATCACCCTGCCCTCCAAATCCACACGGTGAGAGTTGTTAAGAGTTGTTTCATTTATCACTGGCAATGGAAATATCCTCATCTTCTAAACTGAAAACACATCCCTTACGTAATTAAAGAAGCTAAAAATGGACACTAATTGTTAATCAGAATGTTTAAATAATTATTGAGGTGGCAGTTTTTCTTTTACTAACCATGCACTTAGTTTTACAGTGAACATTTTGATGTTCAGGAAAGTTGCTGTAACTTTAGTTATTTTGTAAAGCTCTAGAAAAGGCCCACTAAGGTTACCACTGCCATTTATACAACGATGACAGGGAAATAGTGATATGCTTAATTGTATAACTGAAATCATTGTCTATACCCAAGAACTTTCCATTTCCATACTTCTGACTGCTAAGGTTAAAATTAAAAATTGCAGAAAACTGATTTTAACACAAGACTAGATGTATACACGTGTTAAAAAGTATACTTTGTGTTTTTAATAGCTGAATACAGTCATGCTTCCTTTTTAAAAGGAAATGTCCCTGAAGAGCATGCGTGATGCATTTAATGAATATGCAACTTATTTTTTTAATTAGGAGTAATTCTGAAAACCCATATATTCATACTTGCCTCATTAGTCATGAGTATTTTTTCTTATTTTTGTTACAGTGTTGTCACTTGTTAACACTCTCAAAAAGACCAAAGGGACACACTGAAAAATCGAGGAAAGAAAAAAAATTTAAAGCATTATTTTTTAAAGATTTTATTTATTTATTTTTAAAGAGGTGAAGGGAAGGGGAAAGAAAGGGAAACATCAATGTGTGGTTGCTTCAAGTGCCCCCTACGGGTTATATGGGACCTGGCCCTCAACCCAGGCATGTGCCCTAGACTGATAATTGAACTGGCAACCCTTTGGTTCTCAGTCTGGTACTCAATCAACTGAGCCACACCAGCCAGGGTAAGGAAAGAAATTTAAGTATGTAGAATATGTTTACCATAATTTAAAATCAACACAACATTTTTATTTATTTTAAAATGTTAATAAATTTTAGCTTAATGTCACCTTTTATTATGAGTAATAAAATAATAAAATATTACTTTAACTTTAATATTAAGTTAAATAACATTGCATTTTTATCACAATGAATTAAAGAATTTAAAATTGTAGGCATCTTATTTAAAATAAGTTAGTCTTTCAAATGACACAATAAGTTATACGTAAAACAATCTGAATTATTTCAGCAAATAAGAAACAAAAATAATTTAACTTCAAGGATATAATTGGTAAAAGTTCTATAATTTAGAAAAACCCAATAGTTAAAACAACGTCTTTATCATTATTTTTGCAATCATTCTTTTTTATGATTTTGGCTTTACCTTTTGAAAATCAGCTTATAAGTTTTTTCTTTAAGGTTTTATTTATTTATCTTTAGAGAGGAAGGGAAGGAGAGAGGGAGAGAAATATCAGTGTATGATTGCCTCTTCTTGTGAGTCCCCTGCTGGGAACTGGCCTGCAACCCAGGTATGTGCCCTGACTGGGAATTGAACCGCAATCGTGTGATTCACAGGCCCGTGGTCAATCCACTGAGCTGCACCAGCCAGGGATCTTATAAGTTTTTTTAAATCTATAAATAACCATGTCTTCCAGCAAATAATCAGCCTGAACAATACAGAGCTAAAAGTATAAGTATTTGGAAATTGTTGATTTCTTGTAAATAAACATAGTCACTGAGATTGAAGATAATGGTAAGATAAACAAATGTATTTGTAAAACTCTTTTGTTTGATGAAGTCATACAATAATAAATTATATTAAATAAAGTGAAAAAAACTACACTGAGGCCCTGGCTGATGTAGCTCAGTGGGTTGAGTGTGAGCCTGCAAACCAAAGGATCACAGGTCAATTCCCAGTCAGGGCACATGCCTGGGTTGTAGGCCAGGTCCCAGCAGGGGACCCACGAGAGGCAACCATACATTGATATTTCTCTCCCTCTCTCCTTCCCCTCCCTTCCCTTCCAAAGATAAATAAATAAAATATTTAAAAAACCCTACATTGACATAGTAATTTTTAAATTCTAAATCCACGACATTTTCTAGAATCACAGGGCTATAGGGAACCACCTATTCAAAATTGCCATGGTTCCTCCGACCTTCCTGTCATGGTACATTTAGAACAGTCCACCTCTGCCAAAATACCACACCAGCCATCTCCTGACCTAACTTTATTTTTGCCTACTTTTGAGCCTTGTGAAATTTCAATGCTACTCGTCCATGTCAGAACTTCAAAACATTGCATTTAAAATACTGCTGATGTTTTACCTAGACTTTGCTTTTAGTAAACCTCATTTAGAGAAATTTCTTTTGGGCATTTATATTAATTCCATTGAAGACTTTAAGGTTTTTTTTTTAATTGAAATTGTAGAGCATGGTTTCTTTAGTCACATCTCTTCTACTCCCTTCCTGACCTCAGTCTGCCTTCTGTAAGTTTTTGTCACTTGTTGAACTCAGTTGTGTGGTAAGAGTACACATAGAATTCACAATGAAACTTTCATATTCATACACATTATCCTCCTATTTGCATATCACTGTGTAGTGTTTTCTCCAAGCCTAGTGTCTTCCTGTCATCTCGTAAAGATAAC